CTAGTTACGCTATCCCGAAATCTTAAGTTAATGGTTTGGTCTAAATAATCAAATTAACACAATCAAAGCTAACAATAAGAATCGGTATCAAAGTACTAGGGATTTGAGATCCACATGCATTAACCATAAACATGCTAATTTGTCGGGAAATTAATCAATCAAACAATGCGAGGGAAAACGGTATTTGCAATCAAAATCACTTGAAGAGCTATTTCCTAGGGTCAAGCTAGTGGTCTCTACAATGAAAATCAAAGGAAAATCGCAAAACAAGATTAATCGATAATAATAGCTTTCAAATCAATGTGTCGTATCAATGAAAACTACTATACAATCTAGCTTGATAATCAAGGTTAGCTACTCATCATCAAATCAATCACATGCACAAATTCCATCAACAAATTTAATCACAATATCCAATCAATCAAAACCCTCAAATTAGCAATAGTTATCATTCAACATGCTTCACCACATCCCAAGCAAAGGAACTACTCACTACACATTGTAAAATTGAAAAGTATAACTAAACTAATCATCATTTACATCATCAATATTGAAATCCAAATATCAAAAATCAATCAAATAATCTATATAAATTCAACAATGTATCAAAAATCAAACACTAAAATTGCATTAAAGAGAAAGGAATTCTTACAAAACATTGATCAATATCAAAAGGAATGAAGATCAAAAGGAATGAATCATCAATTACCAAGTTTCTCTCTCTAAAATCTAATAACAATGTTTCCAAAAATTTTGAGCTTCTCTCTCTAAAACTAGTCTAATTCTCATACAATTCCAATCATATTCTTAATGTTCTCTCTCTAAAAGGAAGAAAAATCTATATATAGTAAAACAAACAAAGGAGATGTTAGTTAGACATCCAAAAAGAACACCAATAGGTACGCCCTCTCCTTAATATGTGTGGCCGCAAAGAAATGGGTACGGAACGGGGAGGTAGAATTGCGCGGCCACACCTCACACATGCGTGGCTGCTCCCCTACTCTACGCGCCCGTGCCTGGGAGCAGGGGAGCTCCTCTCGTGCGAATGTCAATGCTTCTGTGCGCTCCACTTGATGAATGTTGGGGGTGGCAATTTCCAAAGGCCTCCATGATGGGTTCAACACCATTTTTAATGCCCACGCAACTTGAGAGCACAACCTAGAAGACTTGGACTTTGCATCCCTTATCATTTTGAGCTTCAAAGGGAGAGACAGACTTGCATCTTGAGCCTTACAAATCTCGAGAAAAAACCATTGAGCTCGTTGAACATCACCAATCTCCTAGAATCAAAGAAAAGAAAACAAATAAAGGAGAAAAGGAAAATAAACTGAGAAACTCAAGAAAAACGAGAAAACAGCTAAGGAAAACACAAACTAGAGAAATAACAGGTAAAACTAAAGAAAAAGAGATAAAAGAGCTATAAAAGCGATTAAAATTCATCCTAAAAGAGGCTAAATGAGTGTCACTCATCAGGAAACTTGATTACTTGAGAATCCTAAATAAGAAAGGTAAATTTGTTGTTAGTGTCAATTCCTAAGCCATCGACTTTGACACTTTGACATACACTTTAGAAGAAGTTAGTGATAAAAACTATGATCAAGAAGAAAGATGTACTATTTAATTAGGGAATGAGGCGAGGAGAGAAAAAGACAAAAGGAAAGGCAAAATTAAGGATTTACACTATATTAGCTTCTAATACCAATCATTGCAGTAAAGACAAAAAAAGTGTATAAGAAACTATGGGATGAATAGTTTAGGAGTAGTTACTATTAATTAGTATAAAAAGTTAATGAGTTCTAATAAATATACTAGTACTTTTTAGAGTTCTATGGTATTTTTGTTATGTTTTCAAGTATTTTTATTGTTATTTATTTATTTAATTTTATTTTTAGTTAAATAAGAAACTAGCTAGTAAAACAAGTAAAAGAAGACCAACAAGCATTAGCCAACTCAGGTGCCCTTGAAACTTGCTCATGTCCTACCTTGTATATAACACAAAACCTAAAGAGATTGCCCTTGTTAATAATTTCCCTAATCTTCCAAAACATCTTTTAGGGAATTTTTTTCTCACCCTATTGTGGGTCATGTTTTTAAGCATGGCGGCGCTCCAAGGAAAAGAAGCTAGAGAAAAAGAGTCTCCAACAATATTAGGAATTTGTAAACTGTTCACAGTTGTGAAGGTTACACCCCATTCATAGTCACAGAGATTGCTAACTCCATAGGGGTGTTCGGATCCATGACTGATGTTCGCGGAATTTAACCTTAAGGCCTTGCCTGGATTGAGAGGAGCTGTTAGGGGGAAATAATTAGGAGGGAAATTATTAGGATGAACTAATTTAAGGAAATAACAACTAAGAGGAACTAATTGAAGCAAGTTTGGTAAAAGATAACTTATTACAGGGTATAAGTAAGTATTCTTACGTTTACTATTGCTATGCTTCCATTCTAACAATCAATTTTATTTATTTATTTATTTACTTTTTATTTAACAAATCAAACTTGTCAAATATCATATACATCAAGCATGAAATAAATTCCCAAAATAATGAAGCAATTCACTTACAACATGAAAAAAATCTTTAAATCATGAAATTGTTTCTAAAATAAAATAAAATAAATTCATGAAGTAATGTTTTACCCCTTTCCATCTCTCATAACAAACGTCTTGCATTTTTTTCACCATTTTTATTCATCAACAACTAAACAATAACTAAACAACTTAATTTTTTAAAAATGAATCGCAATAATCGTATAATGCAGCATATACTACCATGATTTACTAGCAATTGAATAATATAGGTACAACAAAGTTCTGAAAAACAATTATAAAAAAAAATAAAAAAAAAACTGCAAAACAAAAATCTAAAAACTAAATAAATTAAGCACTAAAATTTGCTATGAGTTGATAAACATTAATTATTACCCAGTCTACTAATAGAATCAGCAAATATTGCATGCACACTTCATGAATGGATGAATTCCATAGATCTGCAATTATAAGAGGAGAGAGGATAAAATATGGGTAAGTTTACCCCGGGAATCATTACTCTATGGGGGGGGGGAGTGTAATACATTACCCTCTATTTGTGGGGGAAAAAATCGGGCCTAATTTTTAAGCCCAATCCAGGCATACGAATTTAGCCCATAAAATCTACCCTTTGAATTAATCCATCCCATTACACTCAATCCAGGTGGGCCCTTAAATGTTAAACCTGCCCTAAATAGGCATCTATTTAATTCTTATGATATTCATACACGCTTTTCGATCAACATGCATACATCAAATTAATCTTAAACTTGTTTAATCTACGTTGGTTGATTATTAATGCACAATCAAATCTAATATTGGTGAGCACTTTAAATAAAATCAATAAGCCTAAATTCGATTATTATTTTTTTATTACGCGTGATTTCAAGTGCAAATTCCCTTTTAAACCTGTCAAAAGGTGCGTGATCAAGAAATAGCAATAAATCATCGATAACCAAGGAGCATATGATCAATATAACAATCATCATCAACACATCGTTAGTAGTAAGATTCTAGGCATGATACTAAACAAAATAATAACAAATCCTAGCATGTCACTAATAACAAAATCAAAGCGTTATCCTAAACATGATACTAGAAATCGAAACATCATGCGAAACATGATTTCTATTCAAAATCAAAAGAATAAATAACCGACTTACTTTGATGTCTCGACCTTCTTGCTATTAAAATAATACACTCGTTAGTAAATTTCAAGAAAGCGAAATCAATAAAGTAAATAGTAAACTAAATTATTAATTAAGAATTGAAATATAGATTTGGGACCAAACCTTCAGAAATATCAACCTTTCACGTTGAGGTCGAAGACAATATCGAGTTTGGCTTGGAGTATTCGAATTTCGCAAAGGAACTATGGTGAATGATTTGGGATGTATCAAATATGTAGTTAGGTCAAGGATAAGAACGTGAGTGTATGATGATGATTGTAGAGAGGGGACTATTGATGATCATCAATGATGATTGTTGATGATAATTGTTGATAGTTGTTGATGATTTGAAAACGAGGAAAACGACCTCTATTTATAGAGAAACAAGAGAGTCAAAACGATCAGAAAAAGATCAAAAGTTCTGGACGAAATCGAACTTCTCCATCACGGGGCGACGGGATTGTCAGGACGTGTTGGCCGTTGTTGCGGCACGACAGGCTGACGTGTCGCGTTGGTCTTGTCGTCATGCGATGATTTCTGAAGAAAACAAAGTTTTACAGAGTTTGATTTCTAATGGAATTATGTTTCCAAAAGATGTCCGAACATCTTTGGATTTAAACGGGATAAGGATTGTCACATTAGAAGTTTTATTCGACCTCTTTGATATGTTCTCTATCTTTTCGCAAAGGATAGATTAGAACCTTCTAGAGGATTCTACAAATTCCTAACTTATTTAGGATTAGGAATATGATCATATAGGACGTAAATAATGTATTTTGACTACATATAATCATTGAATCGTACTAGAGATGCACCTAGGCTCAGTTTAGGCTCGATTTAGTATTTTGGTCATAACTTATTCGTTTTGAGTCTTTTATTTGGGCTTATAATATATCGTTGGAAAACTCTTTTCAAGCCCATTCAACTAAACAAAATTTGACTAGGAACATGGAACAAAATAATCAGGTTTGGATAGGTACCATACGGGAAAGGTTTGAATGGGAATCACCAAAGAAGATATTGGAGATGGAGTTACTAAAGGAAAGGGAAGAAGATTTCTTGTTCTGGGATTACCACCCTTCGGGTGAGTATACAGTTAAGTCTAGATATGCTTTATTATTGGATACTTGCTCTACAGATCAGAGACTATTGAGGGAGCAACACTGCCAACAATGGTTATGGTGACAACTGACAAACCACCATTTACCAATGACTTGCCCTGTGTAACTGCTGCCCATCTTACCACAACACCAAAATAGAGGAAAAAATAACATTGGAATTCTTTTAAGTCGATTATACCAGCATAATTCAATTATTCAGTAATTGTATTGCAAATATATTTTTCCACTTATATGACATTACAGAATTCGAGATATATTGTTCCACTTATATAATATTACAAATTCTGAGTTATGTGTTTCCATTTGTATCACATTACAGAATCTGAGGAAAAAAAAAATTTGCATTATCTCTTGGCCGAGTAAAGCTGCAACAAATGGTTTTACTTCCCGAAACAACACAGGAAAGGAGGTATTGGGACTTTACAGTTTAGACTAGGTATTCTCTTTTTCCAAGTGCTATTTAGACAAAAGGTTAAGATAGCACTATAGCAGCAATCACCTGAATCGATGCACCAAATTATCTGCACAAGTGGATATCCATTTCAGAAATAGTACCTGGCTTGATTAGAAAAAGTAAGCACCTCAACTGCCTGGTCTCTAGTACTTGACTTGCCATGTCATTTTTCTCCAACTATTGGCTGTTTTGTCAAGCAGCTGTCTTCAAAATCAAAGCAAGTAGAGTGAACTTGTGAGTTACTGAGGAATAGAGGTCTGGTGTTATGGCAAACCAATATTTGCTCTCAAATTATGTAGAAATAGATTAGTATCAGCCCCAACTTCTTAGCATTTAACAAACCTATGGCTTAAGCTGAAAGCTAACATGTTGACCAGACTATGACTGAGGAATGGAGGCCTGGTGTTATGGCAAACCAAAAAGACAATAGTAGCAGCAAACCAGCCAGATAGCAGCATCTTCCTGGATATTTATACCTTGATTTAAAACACATGACCTAAGGAACAGGTGCCAGCAGAAGGAATCTAAACACAACACCAACCAATGCTGAAGTGTCAGATACTCAGATAACATGCACATAACAGCCATAAGGGTACCTTTCATCACATAACATGTAATGTATCTGGTTATCTACGACGTCCAGTCACAAACCGTGGAATATCAGCAAAATCTGAAATTATGTTCACGTCACAGAAGCTATTTCGTGTTGCATTTTTCAGGTAGTCTGTGAGTATCCTGCATTGCTTTTCACCATTTGTCTGTTTCATACAATTGAAGGTAAAGCATTAGGCACAACCAACTCAGTGCATTATTGAATACTGAAATAAAATCTTAGTGATTTCTTGCTTAAGCTGGAAATTGCTCCTCAGCAAAAACTCCAAAAGATTTCACAGTTCTCTTAATATATGCAACTTACAAAGTGGACAAGGATTTCACAGTTCTCTTGATATAAAAAAGGCTTCTGAAAAGTGGATAAGGATTTTCATGTAAAGAAAATTTTGTTTGAAGCTACCTGATAAGAATAACTGTATTTCAGGCCATAAGCCCATGATGGTACATCTTTATTCAGTGGTCATGCTATAAGCCCATGACAGCTAGGAAACCAAACTAGCTATTGTAAACCAAACTAGCCCATGATGGTACATCTTTATTCAGTGGTACATCTCGCAAGCTGGATGCACAGAATTGACATAAAAATTTAGAAAGGTGGAGCCAAGTACTTCTGCAATATATTGACTGAACTGACAATTAGAGAAATCAATATTAAAGCAACAACTGTTTAGAGAAACACATCAAAACTGTGTTCCTCACCCGTAAACTATACCCAACCATGGGGAGCACAAATACAGTTGAGAGCCAATTCAGGAGAGGAGATTGATGGAGGATTGGAGCCTATTACAGGTGAGGAGTTGCAACTGCCTTGACTTAATAAAAAAATTGGAACCCTTTCATGGTGATAGTAAAAAATTAGAACGGAAGAAATTGTGAAGTGAGTATCACTAGTTTCCGAGAGATAAGTCGAGATTTAGTTGAAAAAAAAGGGTACTTCGTCCCTATATTAATGGAGATAAGACAAGTAGAGGAACTGAAAAACATAAAGAGTGGACCCAGATAGTGCAATGAACCCTCACCCTCCACCCGTGACATTGGTGTATCACAGAAGACACACACAGAGGCAACAACCTACCAACAGCAAAAGCACAACAGAAGCAGAGCAGGGGAGGGGAGAGAACCGTTGAGGAGCAGCAGAGGAGACAAGCAGCTTTAGGCCTTTTGTTGTATTAGACTAAAATAGTAAAATGCCAAACAAAGAGTACTTGCTTTAATTAAGGCTTGATTGCCATTTTTATGTGTGTGGTAGTAATATAAATAGTAGAAGCATAGCAAGTAAAGGGTATCCAGAAAATTGTAATAGTTAACTTGGAGAGTAATGGCCTAAAGCCATTGGCGTTCGCAAGCTTTTAGCTTAAGTACTAATACAATCAGCCTTTTGTCCTTTTATTTGTGTGCGAACCCCGAGTCCGTTGCATTTGGTATCAGAGCCGACATGCCGCCGACGCCGTTGACTGTGACGCCGGAGCGGGTGGCGGTGCTTGATGAAAGGGTGGAAGAAATCGTTGAGAAACTCGGGGATGGCGAAAATTCCTTGCAGCAAGCGTTGTTGAAGAAACAGGAGGAGTCCATTGATAAGGTGAGACAATCAATGGAGGGTAAAATGGATCGCTTCCGGCAAGACATCACCCAGCAACTCACCGAAGAAATCGTTGAGAAACTTTGGGATGGCGAAAATTCCTTGCAGCAAGCGTTGTTGAAGAAACAGGAGGAGTCCATTGATAAGGTGAGACAATCAATGGAGGGTAAAATGGATCGCTTCCGGCAAGACATCACCCAGCAACTCACCATGACGACGAGCCGACATGACAAAGCCTTAGACGAGATTCGTAGCGCTCTCAAGGCGTTGGGGAAGCAACCCACCCAACCCTTCGCGGGAAACGAAGAAGTGGAGCAGCCCGTGAACCGCAGTGGTTTCCACGACTCACCACCCCTGAACCGTGGCTTCAACGAGCCACCCATTGGAGCAGGGGGTTTCAACGGCCTTCGACTGGGGAGTTGGGATCCAGGAGCAGGCGGTCAGTACCGCCACCACGAAGGGAACCAGGACAGCCGGGGAAATTGGAAATTTCGAAAACTCGATATGCCGATCTTCAATGGGTCCGATCCGGACGGATGGATACTGCGAAGCGAGCAATATTTTCAGTTCTACCATCTCACGGAGGTGGAAAAGATACAGGCCGCGGTGGTGGCTATGGACGGAGATGCCCTGAGGTGGTACCAATGGGAAAGCCGACGCCGACCACTTGGTGGCTGGGACGATTTGAAGGGGCGCGTGTTGATTCAATTCAGGCCAGTGAACGCCGGAGCGCTGCACGAGCAATGGTTGGCGGTGCATCAAACCACCACCGTCGTCGAATACAGGAGAGTGTTCATCGAGAAGGCCTCACCATTAATGGATGTGCCTGAAAGCTTAATGAAAGGCCAGTTTATAAATGGGCTGAAGGAAGATATAAGGGTGGAGATCCGATTACTTAACCCGTTAACCCTCGAAGACGCAATGGATCTAGCGATCCGGGTTGAAGAAAGAAACCGGGTCAACAGCTCCAGGAAGGCGGGTAGGGCTTTTACCAAACCCAGACCGTATTCGTTTTTTAACCGAAGCCCTGCTTCAGGGGGAGCTGGCGAGTCCAACCAAACACAACAAATGTACAAACCCATAATCCAGCCCAAATTCCCTCCAACCCAATCCGTACCCACACTCAAAACAGCCCAACCCACCTAATCCAAACTCCACAATCGTCAGTAGCCTCAACAAGCAGCGCAGCCCGATCCTTTCAGACCCGAAACACCTCCACCACCACAACCAGGTTTAATGGTGACGTGCGACGACTGACAGAGAGAGAAATCGCCGATAAGAAGGCGCGGGGGTTGTGTTTCCGGTGCGACGGGCGGTGGACCGGCCCCACCCATGTCTGCTCAGCTAAGGGGTTAAGCGTCTTGTTGGTTGAGGATGAAGACTCCGACGAGGCAGGGGAGCTGGTGACGTTGGAAGCGCCGAAGGAGGAGGAGGAGGAAATTCCGACCTCGGTTTCCATGAATTCGATTGTGGGTCTCACCAATCCGAAGACTATGAAGTTGACAGGGACGATCAAGGGAACTCTGGTGGTCGTCATGATTGACCCCGGAGCTACACATAACTTCATCTCCGCGGGAACGGTGGAGAAATTGGAGATTCCGGTCACCGAAACCAATTCTTTTGGCGTGTCGTTAGGGAATGGCGCAGCGGTTAAAGGACGGGGGACTTGCTATGGGGTTCGAGTAAAGCTTAAGGATGGTTTCGAAGTGGTGGAGGACTTCCTACCCCTTCAATTGGGAAACTCTGACTTGATCATGGGAGTACAGTGGCTAGAAAAGTTAGGAGAGGTTGTGACCAATTGGAAACTCCAACGAATGAGTTTTAAGGTCGGCGGAAAAGAGGTGGTCATCCATGGGGACCCAAGTCTAGCGCGCACGGGAATTACTTTAAAAGCAATGATGAGGACATTGAAGAAGGAAAATGGGGGATTGCTAGTGGAGATGAACAACACAGAGGAAGTAGGAAGGGGTCAGTGTGATGAGCAAGCGCCAGAATTTTTGAGAACAGTGTTGAATGAGTATCAAGGGGTTTTTGCTGAGCCCAATGGGCTGCCCCCAAGCGGTGGACATGGGCACTAAATCATTCTCAAGGAAGGAAGTGATCCCGTAAGTGTTCGACCGTATCGATATCCTCAATTTCAAAAGAATGAAATTGAAAAGCTCATAGGTGAAATGCTGGCGGTGGGAATCATTAGGCCTTCAGCTAGTCCCTTCTCGAGTCCCGTACTTTTGGTCAAAAAGAAAGACGGGTCATGGAGATTTTGTGTAGATTACCGGGCTTTGAACAAAGAAACCGTGCCCGATAAATACCCGATACCGGTGATCGATGAGTTACTCGATGAATTACATGGAGCTCGAATTTTTTCGAAGTTGGATCTCAAGGACGGCTATCATCAAATCCTTGTGAGACCAAAAGACACCCATAAGACCGCTTTTCGCACTCATGAGGGGCACTACGAGTTCCTCGTCATGCCATTCGGCCTTACCAACGCACCGGCCACTTTTCAATCCTTGATGAACGATGTTTTCCGGCCTTTTCTACGTAAGTTTGTACTAGTCTTTTTTTATGATATATTAGTTTATAGTAGTAATGACCAAGATCATGCGATGCATTTACAATTAGTGCTTGCTACTCTTAAGAAACACGTCTTATTTGCTAACTATAAAAAATGTGTGTTTGGCAAAAAGGTGGCTTATTTGGGCCACATTATATCAAGTGAGGGGGTAGCAGTTGACCAAGAGAAGGTGGGCTCAATGGTTAAGTGGCCCATTCCTAAATCCTTGAGGGATTTAAGAGGTTTCTTGGGACTCACAGGGTACTACAGAAAGTTCATTAGACAATATGCTCATCTTGCACGGCCACTCACGGATTAGCTCAGAAAGGACAGTTTTGGGTGGTCGGAGGAGGCGAGTGTATCATTCCGGGCTCTCAAGGAAGCTATGGTCACGGCCCCAGTTCTCACGATGCCGGATTTCTCTAAAACATTCATCGTGGAGTCCGACGCGTCGGGGTATGGCCTGGGAGCAGTGTTAATGCAAGAAGGGAAACTCGTGGCGTTCTTTAGCAAGGTTTTGGGGCCTAGGGGACAAGGCAAGTCGATCTACGAGAAGGAGCTCATGGCCGTTTGCTTGGCGGTGGAAAAGTGGAAGCATTATTTATTGGGGAGGCATTTTGTGATTAGGAGTGACCAACAAAGCCTCAAGTACATCACTCAACAACGGGAAATCGGCATGGAGTATCAAAAATGGGTTCGAAAATTAATTGGGTTCGATTTCGAATTACAATACAAACCCGAGGTGGCCAATAGGGTGGCGGACGCCTTGTCGCGGCGGGGTAAGGATGAGGAAGATGAGGAATTAGGAGCTTTGATCACCACGCAAGGGGTTGACTGGGATGTGTTAAGGGCTAAGATCGCAGGGGATAAGGAAATACAAGGGCTGAACACAGAGGTAGAAAAAGGAAGCGGAGCCCGAGGTTATACCGTAGAGAATGACCGACTTCTGTACAAGGGCCGTGTGGTGCTGCCGCGGAATTCTAGCCTAAAGCAAGCTCTGTTTCAGATTTATC